AAAATATTATCACAATCAATGTTCAATCGCACAAGTCATATTCTAGATTTTTAACCGAATATTGATACCCATTTTTGGCGCCATTGCCGGGGATTTAACTTTAGTTTGATTTTATTTACTTTGATACTAATTCGAAATTTTCTTTTATTTTATTATTTTATTACTTTTATTTTTCGCTAACCCCCTACTATTAATCTATCTCGTATTTGCAGTCTCTCCCTATACTTTTTCAGATAATTGTGTGATTCTAACTTAGTAAGGTAATGAAACTTTTGCAATTGATAATCTCTACATAAATTATGAAGATATTCTTGGAGGATATCCGAGTTGTAATAATTGCTACGCGATGTATTGTACTAGGCAATGTTTGTTCTCGTACTCTGGTTTACACACGCCGAAACGTATGATGTTTAGAAAATATTTAGGCGTCAGAAGCAAGGAATTGACAAAATGATGAATGGTATATGCTCATTGGAGATTTTATACCTTACAATTGGGATGAGGACATCAAACTTGTAGAAAATGGTCCTCCTCTATTAGATGAAAAGGTAATTCCAAAGTATTTCGAAAAACTGGTCAAGTTCGATGAAAGTGAGATGCTTTTGGGAGATTGCATGTATTTGAAAGAATTTCAACATTGGGGGTACAATCCACTTAAAGGGGTCGTCGGGACCAACTTCTCATTGCCTGTGAATTTAGATTGTAGACCAATCATTCTACCCGATGAGAGTTTTACAATTGAAGAAGAACCAAAAACGAGTGAAAATTTAACCACAACGGAGCTAAACAAGGATGAGGCAATCAATAAGAAGGAAATCAACTCACATTTTTCCGACTTTATTGATTGTCCAAAAATTGATTTTGTGATTAAACCTGATGAGGAGATATAAATCTACATAGTTGAAGTTGAGTCTCATGGAATAGACAAGTCGTGTTATGTTGAAAATGGCAAGGAAGATGTGTGGANAGTCGGATGGAATAGACAAGTCCTATTATGTTGAAAAGGGCAAAGAAGAGTTGTGGAGATCAAATGAAGAGCGGATCAAAGCCAAAAGAAGAAAAATGGACAATGCATCAAAAGCCTTCTTTAGGTGCCCGTGATCAGCCGCCATATAGTCGAGCTATAGACTATAAAAAAAGCTCTTGTTGGGAAACAACCCAATTTCCTAACTTTTTTATTTATTTTGCTTTCTGTATCGCATTGCATATAGATTTATTTTGATTATTAGTTTGCATCAGACTTAGGTATGTTTCAATTTATAGGGTATCACCATCCTATCATATTTTCCCTAGGGCCCTTGAAATTATTATTGGTTATTTCGATTGTTTGAGCTAAGTAACATGTGTTCTAGGTCTTTGATTTGACTACTATGTGCGAGAACATGATATCGTGGAACACTCAAACTAATATAGACAAGAGAAAAGCATGATGATGAAGATTGTCTAGCCTTCACACATAGTGCCTTACACATTCAACAGAAAAAATTCGGGGAGTGTCTTCTTCCTTTTCTTCCATATTCCCTTATATTCTCTCTTATGCTTTAGGACATTGAGGACAATGTCGATTTTAAGTTTGGGGTGGGAAAAATTTTGAGTTTTTACTTTTGGTATGTTTTGAAGTGTTTATGTGTTTGTTTTTACTTTAGT